TTGAACATCAGGAGGGAAGTAATGCGTAATATAACCCAGTACCAGGCACTTGGGTAGTTCAAAACATCAAAGTTCATGCTCAATAATCCAGGTAGAAAAATCCAACAAAGTTCAGTCAGGGCCTCTGGATGGTTTCTACCTGGATTATTGAGCATGAACCTTGATGTTTTGAACCACTTTGGCCATGGCTGCCTCAGAGGAGTCGACAGGGGAGAGGGCAGACTCCAGAAACCATCTTATCACCGTGCTATTTATAAGACTGAGTTTGTTGTGGCTCCTTGGACTGATGAAGTCTTTTGGATGAAAGATGAAACATTTCAACAAAAAGAAACCGTCCAGAAGACCAGATTTAACTTTGTTGGGTACTTGGTGGTATTTACCAGGTACATGCACATACCTGGCTCTTATCAGGCACCTGTTCTATATATGGTATGCATCTCGTACTAACCTAAGCCTTACCTAGTAAATAAAGGGGACAAACAGGTAAACACATAATATGTATCTGTTTGTATTTTATATGGCAACCAAAAAAACTCAAATTTCCATTTATCTAGATCTTAATACATTTTTTCTTATGTTTTCCATTTTTAAAATAGTCTTTAGTGTGAAAATGATATGGACTTAATTTATTTAGGTTTCGTTGGGCACACGTTCAAAAATGTATTGTTGTTACTATTATATTATTATATTATTATACTACTACTATGTATTGTTGAGCATGCATCAGGATGTATTGTTGTTAATTATTTGAAATGTTTCGCAAAACCCTAAATCTCCATAAACTAGTTTGGTGTATGTGGAAGCAGACCTGCCATTCGATAGCAAATTGGCTTTTATTTATATATATTTTTGACAGACAGATTTCACCAAACCTAAAAGGAGAAATGCATCAAAACCCATTGCATCAGGCTACTGGGATAAGGTGTATATAAAAGCTTCGGGTCATCTTTATAAATCAGCTACACTGAGAGTGACCTCATCTCTTACCAATATAATTTATTTGTTGATGCAGTTATATGTGCTCCTCTGACTCATCGACTTCTGAACTGGAATTTATAACATGGCTTATCTGCTCACATTAGGGAAATATATATTTGTTGGATTTTTCCACCACCAAGGAGAACCAGTTTTCTCAATCTGCCAAAAAACACATTTATATATATATATATTTTAAATCAAAGGATATGATGTTTCTCTGATTGAATCAATAAAAAAAACGACATTTCAATAAGAAAGTTTCTCCGCATCCTTTGCACAAATATAAAAGCGTCTTTCAAATTAATTACGTAGATGCATGAGATTGACTGGGATGCAGCTGTGAATATTTATAGCTTGTCCTGATTAATAATACAGCACCTCAGACTGAGGAAGTCTCTCGGATGAGAGACGAAACGTTTCTATATTTTTTTGCTTTGTTTTTTTTTTGTTTGTTTTTTTGAATGTCCAGAGGACCAGATTGAACTTTTTTGGATTTATAGCTTGTGCTCTGGAGTGAAAGGATGCAATATCAAAACCAAAAGAAATAAAATGCTGTTGTAACAACTCTTATATACAAATTGCATCCCAGTACTTTAACCAGTAGTCCCTCGCTACTTCACGGTTTGTTTATCGTGGACTTGCTCTATCGCGGTTTTTCAAAATAAGATTGGACATGACACACATTTGGCTGATTGATGGATGAGTCAAACGATCAGCATACATTTTTTTTTAATTTCACATAATTTATTTTAAATTATTTAGCACCTGCCTCTTAGTGTGAAGTCCACTGCAGGATAAGCTTCCTGCTGCTGGTCACCATGCAGAGCTGAGAAGTGGGCGTGGCCAAGAGCGCTTGCAAGTGGCAAAGAGGAGAGGAGGCAGCGAGCTGAAATCATGACATTCTGTGCTCTTTTAGAGCGTTTAGAGTTTAGAAACATTGT